TAATTGCCATGTAGTGTTTCATTTCTTCTTAAATTTTTAAGAAATGAACTGGAAAAAAGTACTGTATTCTGGCAGCATGTGAAATGTCAGAAGGATTGGAACCCAAATCCACTGTACTTCTTTGTACTACATGAACTGACAGAGTGATTGATTGCAGGATGACTAACCATTGTCTAGTTGAACCAGCATAAACAGAAAGAATACTTTTTTTTTCTTACCAAAGTAAGAACATGATGACTGATAAATCCTGATTCCATTCAGGACCAGTCTCTTTGCTTCCCTCTGGGATGTTTTTTGATCCAGATTGACTTTCTTTATACAGCTACTGAGAGAGCCAGCAGATATTCACTGGACAGTTGTCCAGCTCTTTCTCCTCTTACTCATGCTTGTGTACATCCATCACAGTGGGAATGTCTAGGCTCAACTTTCCTTTAGTTGGAATTTCAGACAGTTCCAGTTCCAGGCTGATGGGAATGACTCCTTATCAATCCCTTCCGCTTCTCTTCTGTGCCCAGACCTCACCAGTATCTCCCATGATATGACCTTTCTTCCTGTCAAAAGCCAGTTCAGTATTATTCCCTCCTCCAGTCTTCCACAACTTAACCCCTCTTCTTCTCGTCATTATGTATTCAAGCATCCTACTTCCCTCTCCCTGCCTTTCCTTACTGAAACAACAAAATATTTTGAACTGTGGCTTCAGGTTACCTAAACCTGACCTATATGGCTAGCACAAAGCAATCCTGTCAAATGAACCAGTGGCCATTAGTTCTCATTCCAGTACATCCCTGTTTCCTACTCTTTCTGTAAATAGATAATTCTGGGGTTTAGGTTGCTTGGGTTTTTTAAGTCCCCTCTCTGCATTCAGATCAGCTGCTTTCTTGTTTTTCCCTCCAGTCAGCATTATTTTGGCTTATCTGTTTTCTGACATGTACAGGACACTTAGTGTGCTGTGGAGTAGAAATGCATTCTCAATCAGATATAATAAAACTTTGATCTCTGCCTCATGCTATAAGTTTGAGCAGGACTGGTTCTATCAGTCCTTCTAGTCCCCACCTTCCCTCCAAAGAGAGTGAGATTTTACATGCAGAGTAATAGTGTGTAAGTTTGAGGGAATAAAATATCTTGTCATTATGGGATTATGCTTATAAGGAGGTGCAAAGAAATCCCACAGACAAAACCTGGTGATTAATTAGGTATTGCGGGTGCTTGATGTTTTTAATTTAGGCTTCCAGAAGTTCACAGCTGCCCTGTGGTGGACATCTTTCTTCATCACAACATTGTAAGTATTCACAGCTTTTGAGCCTACAGACTACTGAGTAATGGAATTAAAAAAAAAAGGAAGAAATCTTGGACTCTGTATTTGGGAACATTAGCCCTTGCATTCAGACCAATTGTCAACACAACTGCATTGAAAAACTCTGCTTCCTTGATTTTTCTGTTATTATTTTGAAGTGAATGGGGTATTATTCATCTGTTTTGAAATCCTGTATATTGGTAAATGACTGCATTTTGGTGGGCTTGCTTTACGGACTCAGCTTCTTTCCAGAACAGCTGCTCTGCAGCCACGGGAAGGCCTTTTGGAGAGAGCTGGGGGCAGAGAAGGGGAAGAGATGTCAAAGGTACTCAACATGTTCCTCTCCTTTGGGGCAGCAGCCAGCTCATCCTGAAATTGTGCAGCAGTGAGAACATGTCCCATTTACTGCACATCCTGGGCAGGCTTGGCCAGAGCAGGTTCAGTGGGACCCCACCCCTTTCTCTATTCATGGTAACATTTCATTTGCTTTTGATTGCCTTTCCACATCAAGCAGATGTTTTTATTAAGCTCTCCAAGGTGACACACAGGTCATTTTCTTGGGTGGTTACTGTTAATTCAAAATTCAACAATGTGTGTTAGTAATATCCTTCCAACACACCTTATTTTGAATTTTCCATCATGAACTTCCTTTGCCATTGTGCTGCCTAATTGCCTAGGTTTGTCTTGACTAACTTAAATAACTGCTCAGTTAAATAATTGTTCCTTGTTAAAAACAGTTCCATGGCAAATCATGCCACCATGCTGATTAAGGCCTTTTCCAGGACAGCCATGAATACGGTGAAGTTCTGTCAGTGCTCTGCTGCTAACCACTGCCAGAGATTTTTATTCTGTTCTGTTCTCTCCAGCTAGCTTGTGATCAATACACAACTACAACTCCCACCTCACAATCTCTCAGTTTCCTTACTAGCCTCTTGTGAGGCATATTGTCAAAAGTACTTTAAAAATCCCAATAAATTATGTCAGTGAAACAATTCTTGTTCCTCGTCCAGCTGAATTCTTTCAAATGTTCTCTGAAAACTTTCAAAATGCACTAATCTAATTCAGAAAAAGAGTCAGAAATGCTAGTAAATTATGGTTGACTTGCTTGTTTTTAGTAGTTGGCAGCAACTCTATTGATGCTATGACTGGCTCTAAGCCACTTAGATTCCTGTCAGAAAAATTAGTAGCATTAATTGTTGCTCTGGGATTCTGCTGAATCCCAAACAATTTCCGGTACCAGAGGGAGGCACAGAACTCTCTGCACACCTGGTCTGTCTGGGAACTCGGTGTTCTGGGCAGTAGCAGCAGTGGAGATGCTGGGCTGGAGGTCAAGGAGCACTTTCAGAGACTGGATGAGGTCGAAACTCTGTGTGAAGTGGGTCCCATCACATCCCACAGTGTCTGCCTTCCCGCTGCCAGAAAGCCTTAACTGCTTCCATGGAAACCTTGCACAGCTGACCTAACTCCTCACTGCCAGCTCTCTGTGTCTGGGGGACAGGAAGTGTTTTTGGCAGGGAGAAGACAGAGAACATGCTGAAGGCACTACAGAGAAAGTGCAGTCAAAAAGGGCTGAAATTCTTTTTGGGGAGTTGTTAAACTGGTGGGAGGCTAAGGGAAAGTAACTTGGTTCTGCAAAAGATAAAATGTGAGATAGGAATGTTGGTATCATCTTTATTGCTAAGAGATACAGTAAGTTTTAGGGAGAATGCCTGTTGTCTGTGGGACCGAGTTCTACTGATCCTTTTAATTTCCAGAGTTGAATTGACATTGACATCTCCCCTCAAAGATCTAGCCTGGAATATCTGTCATATCATAGTGGTCTGTCGAAACAGTCACAGCCCTTTTAAAATTTCATTGTCACTCATCAGTATGCACATTTGCTCAATAAACTGCCCTAGCTCCACCAAATACATATATTTGAAGCAAACCTCAAAAGATAATAACTTAATATCATGGAAGTAATTACCAGGAAGTCATGTTATGCTTCTTGCCAGTTCACAAGAATCCTATTTTTCCAAAATGTGAATGTTATATTGCTGCTTAATAGACTCTAAACTTCAAAAGAAATTGTGAAAATCTTTTATCTTGGCAGAGAATAAAGGCAGCTCTGCCATTCTCCCCAGCTTCAATCTAGAACTGCTTTAAACTGAGTAAATGGTCCAAACATTGTTAAAAACTGGAAGGTGAAAATTGTCTAGACTGTCCTTCTGTATACCTTTAGTTTTGGTGTTATCAGGGAGCACAGCTTTGACATTTCATATATTTGCAGTTCCTATTAAGTAAATTTTCCTACAGAGAGGAAGTTATCCCTTTTTTAATATATATATAGATGATACACTACTCAAGTTTCATCTCTTTGTTTTCTTCTATCACACCACTGAAGCCTCATAGAAGCAGTTAAAAATGTGGGGGTTGAAGCCTGGCCTCTCATGCTGAGGGGAGTTGCACCATCAATTTCTTTTGAAATGTGATTTATCAAAGGATCAGACTATGAGTGGTTCTTGTGCAGTGATGTAAAGCAGGAGCAATGCCACTGAGGTTCTTCACACAGTGCCAAAGCAAAGTGGATGAAAACCACTGCGAAGCACAGCTGTTGACTCAGGGGCATTTGTTTTTCTTTGCTAAGGCATCTGCAGTTTTGTCAATAAGGGGCAAGATAAATTAGTGTTTGTTGAAATATTTGCTGCCCTATGTTACACATAACTGGCAGAGAAGTGCCACGGGTGCTCAGAGCAGAGCTGTTCCAAACCTGCTTGGGAACATCCCTGTCGTGCTGCAGGCAATGGCTGTGATGAATTGTCCTTTACCTCTTTTATTCTTGTTTTAAAATAGAGTTATTTTCATAGTCCACAGATGGCACCTGAAAGTACAGTGTATGTTCCAAAAAAAATTCCAGGCTCTTTTTTTCTCCATCTTCTTCTAAGTACACATATTTTTTCTGTGTTACGGCCTTCTGTGGGACACCACCCTCAACCTCACCCTTTTTTCCCCTTCCATGCATAATCTTTTCACAGGGTGGAGAGGGGATGGGATGGGAAAGAAAGAGTAGCTTTCATGTTTTCTAGCAATGATTTTGTCTACAACTATTTCCTTCTTGACTTCTTACTCACTGTTTATAAAATCTCCCTGTACTTTAACAATAGTATTGTTGCCACAGCTGCACTGATTATATTTCTCTAACTTCTCTCATTTTGGAGCTTGGAATCAGTGTGGTTTGTTTTCATACATGGTAACTTGGAGCAGCCTATAATAACATTACAGAAAGCCTCGATAATATAATTGTAATGTGCACACACACTACTTTCTCTGCTTTTTTTGTCTCCAGGATCAAATATCTAATTTGTTGGGTTTTTTGGGGTTTTTTTTTAATACTCTGCCTACAACAAAAAAGTGAAGAGTTGATTCCAGATAGGTACATTACAAAGTGTAGGGTTTTGACAAGCATATTAATAAGGGGTCAGTGAATGTTTTAAGTGTTTCATTGCATAGCCATGTATCCATGTATCTATGATTCATATCCATGTATCTCCACATGTGAGATTTGGGCTTTTTTTTGGTGGAGGTGGAATATTTATTTATTTTAATCTGCTATATCCATTCTCCTCTTCAACATAATAATAAAAATAATACCAAGAAAACCATTAAAAAGTGTAATGCATTTTAATTAGTTTTATTTTAAGTTATAAATTTTTTTTTCCCTCCAAAGGTGCTACTCAAAATGAAGATATGGTTATTTTTTGTACTGAAAACCTGCGTGAGAACTCTTGCAAGACAAAGGATCCTGAAGGTGCAAGGTTCCTCCCTGCATGTCTGAAGTTCAACCTTTGAAATTCAGGACAAGCCCCCCCTTTGCTGGAATACCTCTCAGTGTTCTTGGTATCCTTAAATAAAAAGCATGTATATTAAATATGTCAGATTAAAAAAGCCTTCACTTGCTAGAATATGACCTGGAGATGTAGAGGTGCAAGTCATGAACAGCTAGTGCAATCAGCAGCTCCCCAGCACAAAAATATGAGTTATGGGACATTCACTTAGACATGTTAGGTAATGCAGCAGGTCTGTCTCCCTTTCAGATTGCATCAGATACCTGTGCAAGTCTTAACACACTGAATTCCCCTTTGGTTTTGGGCTGATTAGTGCTGACAGATGAGGGCTCAGTGGCAGTCAGGGACACGGTGTTTCCTTAACCTGCAAAGCCCAGGCAGGGTGAAAGGAAGTCAGGGCATCACCCTTCTGTCTTATTTTGCTGCACAGATACTCTCAGAGAACTTTAAGGGGTGGGGTGCACATGTTTTGAGCTGCCCTGCTGCAAACCAGCCTCTGGGATGGGCACTCAGGGACAAAAACCTGGAGCAAGGTGGCCAGGCCCCTTGTCACCTACAGGTGAGACAGAAGGAAATATCTTCCAGGACTCTCCTCCATTAGAAAGCTCACTCGTGAACACTGATGTCACCTAGAAAAGCAAAAGGAAATGGGCACTAATGGTATTCCGTTGTTACCACTGAATCAACCAGTCTCAAACAAATATCTTAGAAGCAAAGTAGACTGGCGTTTTTTTAAATTATTCCATCAATTATTCCATTCCTCGTGTTTTATATAATCCATCCCAATTACAATATTTTTCCTAGCATGTGGGATATAAATAAGGTAGTTATTAAATCCAGAGTTGATGAATAGCTTTAAATGCTGGCTTGGCACTGTTTGCTTTTAAAGATGCTCCCCATAGGATGACTTCTAATGAACTATTGCATAATTCACAGTTGCTTTTTCTGGTGTCACTGCAAATATTTAGCTGATAAGAAGCAGGAGGCAGCATGCTCAGATTCCTGGTACATTAAAGGAGAAGGTAAATTTAAAATCCATAAGGCAAGTTCTTCTGCCTCTTGCTAGTAATTGCTTTTTGGCAAATTCTATTTGAAAGAAGAGCCAAAAACTCTTTAGAACCAAGCCTGTGAAACAAACATGTTTCCAGGTTAATCGATGGATCAAATCACCAAATGCTCTCAGGCACTGTCTAGCAGATTCCAAAAACCCTTAATACAATTAAAAATCTGGATTGTCTGCACAGGCCATGATAGATTTTACTCTCAAATAAGTAGTTGGTTAAAAAAAATTAGTGTCTGATGTTGAAAGAAAACATTTGCACCAAATGAATTACGGAGGTCATCAGTCAAGACTCTTTAATACAAGTCAAAATATCACCATCGCAATATACTGGCAAATTGAACATCAGTTTGAGTGCCTAAGGGAATCTGTTGCAACTTGCATATACTTAAATCTGTTTAAAATGATATTTTAATTTTATTTTATGAGCAGAGTTTTCTATTTCTCGTCTCTTCACAGGTAGGTTGCCAGTTACCTTATTGAAGGTGTTTGGGAAGTACAACATGCACGTTTGAAGAGGAGCCATGCTGGTGACTGCAGGCTAAGGCCAAATTATAAACCTGTTGTGAAATAAATGTAATTCCTAGGAATAACTTACACAAAGTTGCTTGATTTTTATTGAAGTCAAGAGCTTTCTCTTAATAATGGCATTGAAATTTACAACTGCCCCTTGGATGCACTGCTGTTATTACTCCAGAATAAAAAAATCCCAAGAACCATATGTATGTTACACTTGGGATTCAAATATCAGCCAATTCTCATGGGGTTTGAACACAGCCTGAGTTCATCTACGAGCTCTGAGCAATTAAATTTCACATTTCTATTGCAGATCCCTGGTTTTGCAAGCATCCATGCTTCCCCCTTTCATCCAGTATTTGAAGCAGAATACTGATACACACTGAAACAGCTCAAAGAAGAAATCGTACTGATTTACCCCACTCCCCCGCTAAAATTTCAAAACTGCATGCCCAAAAAAATCTGGTCAATGTGTACTTGCTTAAGTACTTTCCTGAACATAAGCTACCAAACCCTTCAGTACTGAACAGTTTTAATAATGTAAGGGAATTCTTCCAGAAAAGACACTCTTGCAGAGGTTAATGTATAGGTCAAGGGGCATGAAGGTCTCAGTCCTTTTTCTTCCTCTTCTGAAGAGAAGGACCTATGACATCCCTAGGCTGTGTTCTATAATCCTGATAGTGACAGCCTGGGGGAACTATTGCAAAATTAGGTCCTTCTCAGTGTTAATGAAAGGGCACCATGAAGTTTCGAATTTTTTAAAGGCATCCCAGAACTTTGATTCAGTGTAAATAAGACCCTTTGGTCCCTTTGGTACTCAGAGTCTCTCTCTAGAAATTCGGGGGAACTAAACCACTTAAAAGAAAACACTGACATGTTAGATTTTGGGGCTGTAAATGTTTCTGCAGATGCTCAGCTTTAAGCACATGCCATAACATAAACATTAGTTTAGGTTACCTGGTCCCAGATGCAGCAACTCAGAGGTTTATGTAAGAATATTTGCAGGCTGGGAATTTTATTTTCCCAAAATCAAATAACATTCAAGGCATTTTGGAGGATGTTGGGAGCTATGGATCCCTTTGCAGCCCTTTTAAGGTGTGATGCGATCAACATTCACAGAAGCAACATCATTTGGTATAGCTCTACAAGCAGGATTCAAATTTGAACTGAATGAAGGTTCTGAATGAAAAGATAACAGCTTCTGCTATTCTGTGCTTCTGCTTAATGGGAAGCAATTAATTGTGTTCATTTATACCCTCATTTGGTGAGGAAGACCCAGCCTAAAGGGAAAATTCTCTGTATTTGTCTCTTTTGCGGTTTGAATGTATTAAAACAGTTGCTACATGACAAAAAATTGCTAGTTTTAGAATGAAAATGGCTACTGTAGTCCTAGGAAGAAAGATCCTTTTTAACCCATATTAGCCCTGGCTCAGTCTGGCCAATGGCACAGGATGTCCCTTATGCTCATGTAAATGACTTGGATAGGGAAATATTCTCCTGCTCACATTACCAATGTCTACCAAAAAGAGGAAGAAAAGGTTACTTCATATGCCATTGGAAGATCAAGTCAAGATGTTCCAAGTGTATTGATTTTTTTTACCAGTGGAAAAAGATTGTGAGTTATTGGACCAGTATCACTTCCTATGCTGTTTTGGCAGTTTCTCCAGAATTAGATTTATAAATTTAAATCTGTTTTCCTTCTAGCAGTAAAAGCTGCACAGTTTGACTTTGTAAAACAGTGAAGTGGTGCTGTGCATCTTTTAGGGCTTTACCTCTGTACCTGAAGGTATCCTTAGGAAAGACAATTCTGCTGTAAACATTCCTGCAATTACTGAATATTCTGTCTAATTGGAAAGAAGCAATATAGTGCTTATTTTAAAAAGATATTACAAAAATTGTGGCATTATTTTTTGAAGCACAGTCAGAGAGAGGCTGGAATTATTATTTTTCAATTGTAAAGACAAGGAATGGCATTTTCCTTAAAGGATAGGTTTAGATTTCCCAGGAGAACTCTGAAATGTGGAAATTGATCCCAAAAGCTTCAGCCTTAAGAAGCAGTCACAATAAGTAATATGCTTTGCAAAATACAGGGAAGCAGGTGATGTTCATACAGCCCCCTGTGAGAGACGATAATTGCATTTTAGAGAAGTTTGTGTGGAGAAAAGGAAGATCTGACCTGGCTTTGTTGTGATGCCTTTGGGAGGGCACTGCAGCTACTTCAGGCAGCCCGTGGGGAACCTGACGGTCCCTTAATCACCTTCCTCTGTGTTTCACTGTTCAGACATCTGGGCTTTGTCACAAGAATGTTATGACTCCTTTGCTCCATCATTGCCATTTACCTTTGCCAGACTTTCCTCTATCAGACTATCTGTCTTCTATTTCACGCTGCAGGAAGACAAAAGCCAGAGATGAGTCGTCACTAGAAATCTATTTTACTAATCTCGAGCTTGTTTGAACAGGAAGGAATCTGCTTTCCAATAATGTTACCACTGGGACTGGTTTTTTCACATCACTTATCTCACCTGTAGCAAAGAACACACTAGAATTTAGACATGCCACAGAGATAGGTCTTTCAGAGCAGCTTGCACTGCACTAAATCACAAAATAATCTGGAGGAATTTTTTCAGAGCATGCTTCTTTTCGGAGAAAAACATCCCTCCTTGCTGCCTTGATGAAGTTAAGGACTGTAGAGCCTACTGGTGTTTTGATAGCTATATTTTTTCCTTCTTTGTCCAAAACAACATGGTTAAAAGTTCCATCTTTCTCCCATCTTTCCCTCAGTTATGATTAAAGAGCACAAGCTGTCAGGCAGGGTAGTGATTATATTTTCATATGCCATCAATAAGCATTAGGGTTTTTTTCTTTAAAAAGAGAGATGGTGAATATTTGAGATGTCAAGAAAACTTTAATACTTTTATAGTACTGAAAGTCTCCTCAGACAAGCTGGATCTAAAAAACATCTGAAGAAAGGGGATTACACAGCCCAAACTTTACCAGCCTGTCTGCTTGCAGAGATGTCTCACCATCAATAAGTGAGGGCTTGGCTTTCTTCTGAAGTCATCAGTTGTCATTATACATGGATGGGAATGTTGCTGAATAAAGGGGCTTAATGAATTTTTTCCTACCTGGAGAAATTATTAGGAAGAAGTGTCTCTGAGAGCTTTTGGTGCCTACCTCAAAATGGTCTGAATAGAACCATTGAGAGACCTGAACTCTTCCACATGCACATCCTCACATCCTTCCTATGCTGTATCTGATGGTTATCTCACCACAGATGGCCACGTCAGGCAGATGTAAGAGGAAAGAAGACACAAGACTGTATCTGCTTCACTATTTGTTCTGATCTTACTGATTACCTCCAATTTTTTTTTATTTTTAACTCAATTTCTAGTTCAGATATGTTCATAATAGTGATGAAGTGGGGTAAAATCTTACTAAGAGACTCCTCTTTGTTTCCACATCCCCTGGATTTGATCAGATTTTCATAAGTTCCTGTTCCAGCATTGTCAACATTGGCATCACCTTCAAGAATTTTTTAGTCCTTTTTATGCCTTCATGGTGATCATGGAATATACTACTTGCTCAGTGGGAGGAAGATAAAATAAGAAAAATGAAGACTGGAGTAATATGGAAACAGATGGAATCTATAGAGTGAAGAGGAAAAGTAGAGCAAATGTTGAATTCAAGAAGCTTTCACAGTAGAGTGGGAAGTCTGTGGTTCACAAGAAAGGACCTCAAAAATAAAGAAGTTTAGAATATTCAAAGACATAATAAATTATATTCTAATAATTATTCTAAGGAAAACAAACCCAAAGTGGGGGCGGGGGGTGGGGGGTGGAACCTCAACAAACAATACAAAAATCAAAACAACCCCATCCTCCCTCCAAAAAACCAGCAAGGACAAATAATGCAGAAAGAGTAGGTTATTTATAGCTGTCCTGCCATGTTAGTCAAGCTGCATAACATTAGTTTGGATTTCATATTTAAGAAATAGTGCTAATTTCTAACCCACAATAATTTCCTCCATTACTTCAAGGGGCTGGATGTTGTGTGGCAACTCATCACTTAAGATCTGAAGTTTTTTGAACAGTATAAAAAATAATTGTGAAATTCATAGATTTTCTTACACTTGCTCTAGAGTTCTAGGGCAAACTAAAACACTTTATTTGGGTACAAACTTTACTTCTCCCACACAACTTCTAAATTTAAGTGAGGATAATCAACAACCCTGGTAAGAACTCACCTCCTTTTTTGGCTGCATATATTAATATTTTTATTGTTTATTATGTTACAGCAGTTTTCCAATGGCCCTTTCTGTGAGAAACTCTTCACAAACACAGAGCCCTTGTCCTGAACAACTTCCAATCACTGGATATTTGGACTGACCCCGAGTAACAAGGAAATAAACCCACCACTTATAATACTGAAGAAATTCAGGGTGGGAGCACTGGTACAGTCATGATCAGATCAGAAGCTGCACACATATCCAGAGTTACATTTAAATAATCTTAAAGGATATTAGTTTCTAGAAAATAAAATCTGACAGGAACCTTTTTTGTTTTTTCAAATGGATTCTGGAAACATCCAATACTGCCGTGTCTGCCATGCCTGGATCTTGACAAGTATATTTACTGATTGGTGTGCAAAAATAGAGCTTTCATGTTATTCAGAGCACCTTAAACAAGGGGGACATCAGAAAATAATAGTGGACTTGTTCATATTAAGACAGAATGTATAAACCACAGTATCTCTGTGAGGAAATAGACTTCCTGTCTGCTGGTTTTGTGTGTCTAATTAAGTACAGATTTTTTGGCTAGTAAAACATTTTTCCAGAGTTACCAGGAAATAAAACTTAAAGAAGTCCAGTAAAGCCATGAATGGATAAATACTGTGGGAGTTTTTCACAGCAAACCTTGAAACCCCCACATGTAGGTGAGCCCAGTTCTTCTAACGTGGCTATTTTTTAGTCACAGTATTTCTAACAAGCTCTGACTTAGCTCTCATGGGAGAACCATCTCTAAGCAGTGTTATTTGCTCAATAAAATCAGTGTAACTCACCTTTTGATCCTGTAACTGCCC